TGTGCGATTTGCACTGTCATTGTACCTTTTCCGTGAAAAAAACCGTAAAAAATAAACTGTCTTATGGACTTTTTTTACTATCTCAGTAAATTCTGATAGCTCAAGCAATGATAAAAAACTAATTTTCCCGACTGCCACTTTCATTTTTCTCAGTAAACAGGTTTTTGCTACACAAAGCATAATAATTCTCGAACTCACTGCGATAACGACGATATAAAATGGCCTTGAAAATTTTGTTCTAATACACCAATCGACAGATAGAGATGAGGTCTCTCTCCTGACGTGCGATTCAATGCGTTTTATTGCCAGCAAAAGCTCTTTGATACAAACGTCTAAGAAAATATATCATTCAAAATTCTTCAGCTTCAAAAAAACAACTACTGCGTGACAAGGCTACCAGACGTACATGACTAGATTTGTCTCGCCAAGCTCTTAGGAACGACAAAATGTTTTGAGCTTCAGCTTTGGGCATATACTGCACATCGCGAAGGGAAAAAAGAATAATAAAAAGAATCGCTGCGAAAAGTTAAGTATTAATGGAGATATTAGAAAAACAAAATTAAAAATCTTCGGGACATTTAGTATGTGAAGCTTGTGTTCGGTTTGTTGATCTTATATCTTTTTTACCGAAATGATTCTCAATTTGTGGGCTATCTTTTGACTATTTTTGATAAAGACTGCGTTTAGCTTTAGCTGAGATATGCGAGATTCAATCTCATAGGACAGAAAACGATCAAAGTGTTTGTAACAACATTATTTTGATTTATTTGCATAGAAAATTGAACTAAAGAGTTAATTCATTTATATATTTTGAGCGAGTTAGTCTTTAGCTTCAAATTATTCCTAAGAAAAAGAATTAGAATGCATCTGAGAAAAAAATTTATTTTTCAATGACAGAGGGAATCAAAAAGCTTGGCGTACGACAATGCAACTGTTACATCATGTTTGATAACCCAAGTCATGTTATATGCTGAAATCAGCAACTTTCTAAGGAAGCTCTTGTCTTTAGTGCGATAAGAATCAGTTGAACACGATAAAATATATATAAGTTCAAAAAGAAATATCTCCTTTATTCTTAGCAAAAGTAGCTAAGAGCTGCTGCCCTTAGTGGTAGTGGGCAAACGTCAGACAAATAAAATAAAAAAGAATTCAGAAAGATCCGCTCAGTAGAAAAAAAGTTATTGCATTTTTACTTCTCGGATATGAACGATACAATACCAGTGCAAATCGCACATCATTCATGTGATATATAAGATATATAAACAGAGATATCAGATCCAGAAAACAAGAGTTAAAAATCAGAAAAACCTCAAAAAAAAGAAATTTAAAATCAGAAAACCAGAACACATTACTAGAAAAGGACAGAAACAAGGCAGAAAAAATCAGACGATCTGGGACCTCTGTATATAAGCCATCCATCATCGCAACATTTCGTTTCAGAGAAAAATGGTCTTAAAATGGCAAACAAGACGTCTTTTTCAAACCTTCAACGCCGCTTATCTCTTATAGGACTGTAAATTCTAACAGTCAGAAAGATTGGTTCGTCGATCATATTATGCTCGACAGTTATATGTCTGTTTCAAATTACACAAGCTCAATACTTTAAAACGTCCCTAAAGTGTCCAGCACTTTCGAAAGCAAGCTGAAGTGGGCACTATACGAAGGAGACAGTCACACGAGAGCGTTTACCATAATATAATATTTGAAGATCTCGGAATCTAGAAATAGAACTGTATCAATAGCGAGTCATTTAGTCAAGGATAGTTCCACGCAGCTCCACCCAGTATTACATGATCTGAAAGCCGGTCAGAAATGACTCTTGTCATCGTGTAGAGCATGAAAAGTCATTTATAAATCCATACATTTTAGCTATTCCAACGGTTGCGAGAATGGCCGCCCATATCTCACAAAAGATGATTTTACCCGTTTTCAAGGGCCCCTGAGTACCTAATTACCAATTTCACCGCTACATCTGAATTTTTCTAACAGTGATGATCGAAAAGAGCAAAAAGGTTGCATATGTTGCATAAAGTACAGTTTTGGTCGAAAACAATGGGCACCCCAAACGAAAATGATTTTACACGTTGAAAATAAAACTGGGTTTCAGGGAAACAAATACGTAACTTTTGATACTCTATCTAGCCACAAGGAGCACGGTGCTTCGAGTTCTCTCGTAGCCTCCGAATATTCGGCTAGAAAAACCTGAAAAACGCTATAATTCACAACTTGTTGTCCAGAAAAAACCGCATTTCGAATAACTTTTCCAGGGAGCGACTATGGGTTTATACATATTTTTAGTAACTCTACAGAACACATATAGTCAAACCTCCCCGGCTTTCAATCGTATATAAAATGAGCTAAGCTGTCCGGAAGTACCTCCAAGTGCTTCAGTGCTCGCCCCGACTTCTAAATCCTAATTTCTTGCATTGTGATTTACTCATCAGTAACAATTTGCTATAAACTTTATTTTTTAAAGTGATTTCAATTGTATAAAACTACATTATAGTTATTCTCACTACTGCAATAAAGCAAAACGACTTAGATGGTGCCAGTTATATGATATTCTAAGCACTTTTGTTTTGTGAAATTAAATAGTGAACGCGTTTAGAGGATTCAAAAATAACACTGATTGGTCGAATAACTGCCATTGAGCAGCATATGAACGTGGGCAAAAGGGTTTGGGGACAAATTCAATATTATATATTTACATATATGTATAGCAGATGAACCACGTACTCGTTTTTCAACCAACCGATCATTAAAAATTTAACAAATTTGGGAAAGTATATGTTTAAATTTTGGATACATGATCGAAGACGGCCGCCAGCAACAAAAAATTTGATTCCATAGCATCTTGCCCATAGAAACTCATCAATCCCACATGCAAAGTTTTCTCGTTGTAAGAGGTTACCTGTCAATAACAGCTACCAATAGCAGGTAACTTCAGCACTTGTTGAAAACTTGCTGCCAGAAGAAAAAATGTGTAGAGGTCAAATATGGCCATCTAAATAATGAAAATTTCTCAACTTTAGGTGCTTCTTTCTAATAATAAACTACGTCTTTAATTGTGAGGAAATAAGAAGAAAAAAGTTGAAAAATGGTTAGACCAGGCATATATAGGCCGCGTCTCGTCGAAGAAACTGATTGATCAATTTATTCAATACGAATCACTTTTTTTGCTTTTCTTTGAAAATCGGCGACCATTTTTGACAGGTGTTGTTGGCAGGTAACTTCTTTCAACAAAGTTTTCGGGACTGTGCTGTTTTTTTAATTCCATTAGCATCAAAAAAAATTTATGAATCCGCCACGGTGAAGATTACTCAGCTGAATAAATAGAGAGAATAATATTTACTTACCTAATAAACCGGAATCAAGCATACTCCCGCCCTTTTTTTTTGCAGCGCAATCCAGAATAAACAACTGTTTGATTTAGTTGGCACACGAAAACGATTACTTGCACATGAAATGAGATCCTGCTGGAAACTAACTAACTATGATTTGCAAACTAACTTTAATAATCTAACGTATAACTTTAGATTTTTCTTAAATTATGAGTGACGTTGACCAGTCACTCACAACGACTGAGAATCGAACTAATAACAATGATTTACAAGAAAATGATAATGAAGTAACAAAAAATGATGGTGTTGGAGATGATGAGAACACGGACATTATAAGTAATAAACAAAATTTGCCAGTCGATCATTCAACAATCAAAATTGAAGAGTCTGTTCTACATAATGAGAATATGAATGCATCAAACGATGAAAATGCAAAACAAGAATTTTCTGATATTGTCTTAAATGATGCTGACTCTTCAAAATCGGAAAATGAGACTGCTCGTGAGATAACCTCAGATATAGCGCAAAATGGTACTACAGCTGTTCAGAAAGAAAATGATACACTATCAGAAGTTGAATTATCAAATAATTCTCATGCGAAAATAACTGAAGCAGTAGGAGAAGGAGACGAAGACTATGTACATAGTGACATACATGGACAACACGGCTCGGAAATGGAAGAAACAACTTCACATTTGAATGAATCGTATAAGCCCTTATCGCCGTCAGAACAGCAGCCAAAACAACAGTTACTCAATGAAAACGATTCACTCGACGGAGACAATTCAAATAGTTTATTGAAAAATATACACGATAAATCGAACAAAGATGCAAGCGCTTATCTTTTAAACACGGTAAAAACAAAAACATTTATTTTCCTGCTTTTCGAAAAGAATAGCAGAATTTAATATTTTACACGATTGATGTGATTTAAATTTATTTTCATTTTTTAGCTCGTCGATGGTGATTTTGATTTAGACAAAAATTATATTATACAAAAACCCAAAAATTTAACACAAATTTTGACAATATGGCCAAAATTGTCATCTTCTTTACAAGTAAGATTTTATTCTGGCTAATCACTCATTTCAAATCATCCTCTATTCAAAGGCCGAGTTATTGAGTATATTAATTGGAATAATGAGAAAAAGTCAACGGAATTTATTGGCGTGCACTGATACAAATGTGTTTGAAAATATACTGAATTTATTACAAGATGTGGATGATGATGCTGTAGCTGATTTACTAGTAGACATGCTGACTGTCTTAGGATCGTTCACTATTAATGTCAACGAACTGAAGTTGTTACTAGGTTATCTGAAGACAGACGATAAAATTTGGGTATATTAAGCAATAGAATAGTGTTGAGTTCGAAAAATTATCATTTTATTTTGTGTTAAGGCTAAAAATGCTGTGAAACTATTGAACGTCTTGAAAGCAATGCCATATAGATATGGACCAGATGAATTTTTTAATTTTCCTGGACGTAAAGGATCGGTATGAATGCACAAGAACCATGGTAAAAATATTTAATAAATATCATCCTATCTTTAGGGTATTGTTCTACCACCGATTAAATCTTGGCCATATCAAAACGGTTTTACTATAACATGTTGGTTTCGTATCGATCCAGTTTGTAATAGCATCATTGAAAAAGAGAAACCTTACCTGTACTGGTATGACTTAATATGTGTGCTTTAAAGAAGAATGATAAACGATCAATATTATTTTCATTTAGGTTTTGTACATCAAAAGGTCTTGGTTATTCAGCGCATTTTGTTGGAAATTGTCTTGTTATATCGTATGCTAAAATGAAAGAAAAAGGATTTCAACATTGCATACAATATGAATTTAAACCAAGAGAGGTTCGCTGTTTTTCTACTTCGTTCGATTTCAAATATATTTTATTTGATAATTCATTTTCTTCAGTGGTACATGGTTACATTTTCTCATCAATATCAACGTTGGGGTAAAAGTAGTGTACACTGTTATATCAACGGTCAACTAGTATCAAGTGCTTATTTTCCATGGCCAATCGAAAATCAAGAATTATTTGATAAATGTTATATTGGTTGTACACCGGATCGAAGCGAACTAACCAGTTTTTCGGGGCAAATGTCAACATTTTTCTTATTTAGTTTTTATCTTGAACCATTGATAGTTCATGGTTTATACAAATTGGGTCCAGCCTACAAGGTAAAGATAAACAAAGTATTTTTCTCTTACTACTTGTTATTTATTTACAGAATCAATTTAAATTTGAAAATGAAAGTGCGCACGTTTTAACAGAACCACAACGAAAAGTAATTCAACATTTTTATTTAGCTGACATATATATATATATACATATACATTATTTTCTGTAATTTTGTAGGCAATGTATGATGGTAAATTAATGAATTCAATTGTATTTAGTTATAATCCAATATCGTGCGATGAACAATTGGTTCTTCAATCGGCTCCGAAAAATAATATTTCATATTTTGTTCATAATGCTCATGCACAAATGTTAAGCAATGTTAGAGCTGTTATAGCACATTCACTTTATAGTACATTACATTCTGTGGGTGGTATTCAGGTAATGAGTGATGCTTAATTGTACGATTTGTTTGTTATCATGTCAGTAAAGTATTGACTCTTCTGTTCAATGAGGGATTCTAGTCTTCATGTAATTTACATTCGTGCATATTATTAGAACAGCTTTGAGTAGGTGAGAAGACAAACCGAATTCTTTTTCTTTGTCTCTATTCTTTTCATAAATTTTGAACCATAAGTGTCTCTTTTAGGTATTTTTCTCACTGTTTGGTCAACTAGATTATCCTCAAATCGATGGTACAATTGACTATGATGTTTGCTCGTCATTATTAGCAACTATATGTGATTTAATTGAACGTTCATATACAATTCAGCATCAAATGTTAAGTTATAAAGGCTTTTTAACAATTGGATATTATTTAGAAAAGGTATGAACAACTTTTTTTCTGTATTGATAAATAATTCTATTGTTTCTTCTATTTTTTAGACATCAAGACAGCATATTAATCAAAATGTTTTGAATTCATTAATATCATTAACAAGGTTTTTTGCTAAATTACAGAGTAAAAATAGTCCATTGTTATTAAAACAATTATTTGTTCATATATTTTTCAATCCAGTCATTTGGATTTATTGTTCAGTTGATGTACGTATAAAAGCTAAAATCTCGAGTTTCTTGAACTTTTTTTCTTGTATGATTACTGTTTTTACAGACTCAAATGGTTTTATATACGTATTTGGCAACAGAATTTGTTACGTATGCAGATATTTACAATAGTATTCAACCCATAAGTGGAATAATTCAAACGTTACACACGCTTAAATATTATTACTGGGTTATTGATCCTCTTCATCGTAGTGGATACGAACCAAAAGGCACAGGTACGTGTTTCAGTTGACTTTGTTATCAAATATGAAAAAATTTTTCGTTTCAGAGGGTAATCGACCATCAGCTGCACAAATAATTGAAATACGACAATTTATGCTACTTTATATGAAACAACTAATTATAACGGGACCAGGTATTCAAGAAGATGAATTACAAGCGATTTTAAGTTATTTACATACGGTTCATGAAGTAAGGCGTCTATACAACTATTTAGCACGTCTGTTATTTTGTAAACTTTAAGGATGAAAATAATATCGATGTGTTGAATATGTTGGTTACTCTAATGTCCGAACATCCCAAATCGATGGTACCCGCATTTGATCGTCGACAAGGATTAAGGTAATACTATCTATCATCGGTTATACAGGAAAAGAACGATATTGATTTTCTTCTTATATAGAACCGTATTTAAACTATTAGAAAGTAGTAGTGAAATGACACGTTTACAAGCATTGAAATTATTAGGATTTTTCCTTCAAAGAAGCACAACAAAGTTCGTTAATGATCGCTTATTTATAAAGTGTATCTTTGCATTTTTAATTTTTCTCTTTCTCAGACGAAAAACTGATTCTATGCAGCCACATAATCTGTTCTCGTTGTTGGCCGATCGATTACTTCTCCATGCCAACGAATTCACTCTGGCAACGTATGATGTTCTGTTAGAGGTAATAGACAAGATGTTTTTAGATAAATTTAGTTGATGTATGATATATTTTTAGATTCTTGTGGAAAAAATAAGCGGTTCCTCAGAGGAAAAACGGAGTGTTAATATCACTAGTGAATGGAAGATTGAAAATCCAGGTGAAACACATTTTTTCAAATGCTTTTATCATCTAACAAAATGTTTTTTGTTTATTTAGCTATGATCAAAGTAATAGCCACATTATTGCGCAATTCACCAGATAATTTACATCTTTACGAGATAAAAATGCGTTATTTGGAAGATTTGATAGCATTATCGGTAGACAGTCGTGATAATAGACGGTAATGTATACTTTAACTATAAATTGATTGATCTTAGAATTAATTTACTTTTTTTTCCTATGTCTAGTATCATATTACAGATGTCTGTATGGCAAGATTATTTACTCGGTCTCGCCTATATCTATCCCACAACACATGAACAAATTGAAATAACAGATTTAGTGTTTAAATTATTTAAAATTTTATTACATCATGCAATTAAATATGAGTTTGGTGGATGGCGAGTATGGATTGATACATTGTCCATTTTACATGGCAAGGTATGTTCTCATGTGTGATTTTTTTAATGCTATCGACGCCCTTTGATGTTAGAATTTTACTCTTTTTGTATGATGTTGTCATTGATTTTACCTGAGCTTCAAAAATTTCGGACTTAGTATGACAAAAATCAAATTTTTATTGATAATGACTGTAAATTTAGTTATAAATGTTTTATTCGAAGGTAACGAAGGAAGATTATCACAAGAAAATTAGTAAAATGGTTGAACACATGAAAGATGATGATGACGCTGATGTAAGTCTTTTTGTTTTAAAGATGCATTGTCTATTGTGAAAATGACTCATTTGTTTCTAGAAAATTCATCCATCGACACCAAAGAGTAGTCAAGCTGAAATATCAACTGACTCAGCCACAACAATATCTACTCCAACGTCGAGTAAAACGATCAAACTTTTTTTATACCCTTATTAGATTCTGTTGATATTTTTTAAGAATCAACAGTAACAAACCGACAAGTTTTCAATAAAACTGGTCAACTACCACCATTTAATATATCTGAATTTAAATATTCTCCCATGCATATACGCTTGTTACATAGTGTATTTGATACAATCGAAGAAGACGTTCGCTCATTAAGATCGTAAGTTAGATTTTTGAAACTATAATCACGATCAAAACATTCAAATATTCCTTCTATTTATTAGCGATCCAACAAAATCAATATCAGATTATATCAATCATAATGATAATCAAATATTTTGTGTTAATGTTGTTCATATTATATCTCAGATGGCTGATATTCTATGTAATGCAAGTGGTGGACTATTGCCACTATTGGCTAGTGCTACATCAGCATCGGTTAGATTTAAGTTTTTCTTGTTTTTTTTTATTGTCTAATAATAAAATAATTGTTTTTTTTACTTTTGTTTTAGCATGAAATTGAAATTTTAGAAAATACGGAAGGTTTAACGCCCGTTGAAGCATTAAAAATTCTTAAACGTATCATGGCATTTGTCGATTTATTTGTAATAGCTAATAATGGAAACTTTACAGAATTAGAACAAGAAAAGAATATGCCAAGTGGTGGGATAGTTCGACAATGTTTGAGATTAAGTAAGAAAAATTCGATTTTAGATTGAATCTTGATAACAAATTAACAATTAGGTATTAATATTATTTTTTAAATTTTTAATCAGCAATGACAGTCGCTGTTCGTCAGTGTATGGAATGTCGATTTCAACGTTTTGATACAACAAGAATTCCACAACAGCAATTAACTGCTAAACAATCACAACAAAAACTATCAGCAAAAGATCCAGTAGAAGCTGTTTTAGAATTAACACAACTAATGACTCAGAATGATCAAGAACATATTGAAAACTATCGGGTTCGTACACTCGTTCTGTTAAATGTTGTTTTTTAGTAAACTGTTACATATTTCTGTAACTGTATGATGTTCTTTTATTAGGCAAATGAGTCTGATGACATATTACTATTACTATCATCACTGATTAAAAATCCTGATAGTGTACTACAAGAATTAGATGTTCATCGCTTAAGAGCTCTAATTTATCGTGATGTGGTAAGACCAACACAAAATAAAAATGGAAAACTCGTTGTTTTGGTATGAGCTTTATTTTTTGTTTCGTTTAAATGTATTTTCTTTTGCTTTATTAGTGTTGTTCGTGTAACACTGTGCTACTGCTGTTGTTGTTGTTGTGAATAATAAATGTCAATAATTTGTCTTTATCTTTTTATTTTTCTGCAGGACGATACTAAACAATCACAATTTTTGGCACTAGCTATTGTCTACTTTGCCTCGGTTCTCATGGTGTCACGTTATCGAGATATAATTGAGACAAATCAAACATCATTATCGCGAACAACGTCAATTGTTAGCTCATCACCAAGTGTTAGAAATGGTAAACAAGGTGATTTATCGTTTAAGAATGATACATCAGTCCTTTTTGTTGTTTATCACAGGTACCAACGGTTTTGTGGGTCCTAATGTAGATACGGCAAGTGTCAATGGGGTAACTGTACCAGTGTCGAATAATTCTCAGGTAAGAAATAATCACCGGTTGTTTATTGTTTCGATGAAAATCTTAATTTTTTTGCAGAGAAGTTTAAACGAGTCTGGTTCATCAGAAGATAAAACTGACGGACATGATCAGATAGACGCTGAATCGCTAGGCAAAAGTACCACAGATTCAACAAATCCACCAACAATCAGTCAGTTGGGTATGTTTGTGGATGTGCGCGAAAAAGGGATGAAACGTACTCATGGTTAACTATCTTATAGCCATTGCGAGTATTCCAATTGATAATCCGTTGACTTCAGATAAAGAAAAATATGCTGAAATAGTCAAAAATAATACACGTTTACCAGAGTATCCAAAAACAAATTTTGCATCGTCCGAGTAAGAACATTGTATTTTGTTTATCTTCTAAATAAACTTCATTTGTTCTTCATGCTAGAACTCAATCGTCAATGAACATAACTGAAAAATTAGAACGAGCTTTATCAAATGTAGCTCCGTTTCTGCGAGATGTATTCACTGAATTTTCGCAATTGTTAACAAAAACGCTTGTCGGATCACATGGACAAGAATTGTTACCTGGAGGTAAAGAGAGACCATCATAAATGGAAGAAAAAAGATTAGAAATATCTTTGTTATCGTCTAGGTCTAAATGCATTGAAACAAACAACAAATGTTGTCGAATTAGTTATGCTATTATGTTCACAGGAATGGCAAAATTCATTACAAAAACATGCGGGACTTGCTTTCATCGAACTCGTTAATGAAGGCCGGTAAGCCGTATACTTTATCTGTTTTGTTAAAACACTACTTCATTGTTCATCGGCTTTAGTCTATTATCCCATGCAAGCAAAGATCATGTCGTCAAAGTAGCAAACGAAGCCGATTTTATATTGAATCGTATGCGAGCAGATGATGTTCGAAAAGCATCAGAATACGAAGTAATTTTTTTAAGAAATTGTCTCTGAAATGAATTATTTGGACTCTTTTTCTCTTGTAGCAACTGTGTGCACAAACAACACTAGAACGACAAGAAGAAGAACGTCTTTGTAATCATTTTCTTTGTGCAGCACGTAAACGACACCAATCTGTTGCAATTAAAATGAAAGAAAAATGCTCAACAACAATGGCCAACGATAAAAATATATATTTAAATACGATAAATAAAAAGTAAGATTAAAATAATTAACGTCTATATTCAACAACAGTCTTTTTAAAAGGGAAAACAATTCTAACGATAAGAGTTTGTTCTCTAATTCATTTCTAGTTTGAAAACATACTGGAAACTCGATGCATGGGAAGATGATTTGAGACGACGTCGTCGAATTAGTAAAAATCTAAAGGGTTCATCGCATACAGAAGCAGTTTTAAAAGTTAACATAAGTCAAGGTAGAGGATATGCTTCAATTGATGAAAGAGTATTTCGTCAATTTTTCCCATATAAATTAGGCGTGGCGAATGAAGATGCAATAAACGCAGTAGCTAAAGAAGACGGTTTTCACAAACAATTGAGACAAAAATCACAAAGTTTTGTCCAAACGAGTGATGATGAAGATACATTACAAGTGGATGAAAAAGATCTGGATCAAGAGTTTAGTGGTATGTATTTTTGCATGTATGGAAAAGGATAATTTGTTCAATTTTTTATGTTGAAGGACCAATTCGATTTTCAACCGAGTGTATGTTGATTTCGTCCGGTCTTAGTATTAAAGGAACATTAGTCATCACATCAAATGCTATGTTGTATGATACAGATGAAAATGATGAAACATTTGATACATTTGATAAAAAAGTCTGTCTAAGTTCACCATTTGTTCTGCAGACTGACATTTTGTTTTCATTTAGGTTTTACAGTATGTTGAAAACTTAAATGGTAAATGGAATTTTAGCGAAATACGTGCCATATTTTCGCGACGTTATTTACTACAAGATAAAGCATTAGAAATTTTTGTATCTAATAGAAGTATGTCGCAATCACACGATACATCCCCAAATTTATCATTATTTCTTTTTTGTTTTTCAACGTTTTTTTAGCGAGTATCATGTTTGCATTTCCTGATCGTGGTACAGTGAAAAAAGTCGTGAATTATTTACCACGTGTCGGTGTTGGCGGAAGATATGGATTACCACAACAACGGTTTGTGTTCTTTCTTATTCGATGTCTAATTATGATTAATTTTAATTCTTATTTGCAGTCGAACATCTCTTGCATCACCAAAACAATTATTTCGTTCGGCAAATATGACACAACGTTGGCAACGACGAGAACTAAGCAATTTTGAATATTTAATGTATCTAAATACTATAGCTGGTATGTATATTTCTAATGTAATGTAAAGACAAATACTATTATTTATATTTATGAAGGTCGAACATATCAAGATCTAAATCAATATCCCGTATGTCCATGGATTATTGCTGATTATGAAAGTGAAAAAATTGATCTTAATTCACCAGCAACTTATCGTGATCTATCAAAAGTTTGTATTATGCATTAAATAAGTTAGTCAATCATATATGATCATTTCTTTTTACTTTAGCCAATTGGTGCGTTAAATCCAACTAGAAAAGCATTTTTTGTTGATCGATATCATAAGTGGAACAATGATTCTATTCCACCATTCCACTATGGAACACATTATTCAACTGCGGCATTTACACTCAATTGGCTAATTCGTTTGGTAAAGATGAAACGAATTATTCTCAATAGTTTTTATAAATTAATCGTTGTTGTCTCTGTTTATATAGGAGCCATTTACAACCTATTTATTAAGTTTACAAGATGGCAAATTTGATAATGCCAACCGTACATTCCATTCAATACCAGTTTCTTGGCAAAACTGTCAACGTGATACATCAGATGTCAAGGAACTTATTCCAGGTAAAATACGTTTATCCTTTTCAAAATTGTACACTGTTTCTGTCTTGATTGTTTAGAATTTTTCTTTTTACCTGAAATGTTTGTCAATACAAATAATTATAAATTTGGTACAACGGAAGATGATTTGAAAGTGGATGATGTTTTATTACCAAAATGGGCTGCCACACCTGAAGAATTTGTTCGACTAAATCGTATGGTAAGTATAAATCGTGTTGTATGAAGTTTTTTGTTCATATTCTAATTTGTTTTCATCTAGGCTCTTGAATCTGAGTTTGTTTCATGTCAATTACATCATTGGATCGATCTTATTTTTGGTTATAAACAACGAGGTAGATTTTTTTGTATAGAATATAGCAAGTAGTTAGTTGTGTTTGTTACTCTTTTCTTTCAGGTCCAGAAGCTCAAAGAGCGGTGAACTTGTTCTATTATATGACATATGAAGGAGCAATTAATTTAGATGCTATTACGAATCCAATCGATCGTGCTGCTGTTGAAACACAAATAAAAAATTTTGGTCAAACACCATCTCAGCTACTCACCGAACCTCATCCACCAAGAAATTCTGCCATGGCTCTGGTAAGAGTTTTTTTTATCTGTATAAGCTCTTAATTTGAAGCACACGCCAGAAAGAGACTAGCAGTAAAAAATGCCATTTTACGATAATAATATCGATTTGTTTTTTTGTTTCCTCAATAGGCACCAATGGTATACAATCAAATAACAGAAGATGTTAGTATGATTATGAAATTTTCATCAAATGCACCAATTATTCACGTATCAGCAAACACTAATCCGTCCATACCCTTGCAAGCAGTTTTGACAATTAGTCAAAAACATGATTTTTCTATTAATAAATACAATCAAGCTTCTGGTACAACACCGCAAGGTTTTACTGATACCACAGTTGGAGCCAGTCATTCAGCATTACCGTTAAGCATGGATTCTCTATTAGGTAATTAATGTATTACCTTATTTTAGTCATCGGATTCTATCTTGTTTACTTTTAGTTTTAAATACTGGATTGCAACGACGACATTTAGGAAATAATTTCGATGAACGTTTACAGCAACGTCAACAAAATTTTATGGTTACAGCTGATAACCGATTTATTGTGGCAACAGGTTTTTGGGATAAATCTTTTCGAGTTTTAAATACGGATAATGGTAATGAGAATTTCAATTTTTTTTATCTTAAATTATATTATTCTCCTCATTTGTTCATTGTAGCTAAAATCACTCAAGTTTTATATGGTCATTTTGATATTGTAACGTGTATATGTCGTTCTGAAATCACTGTTGCTGGTAATTGTTTTATTACAACGGGTTCAAGAGATTGTACGGTTTGTATCTGGATATGGAATGGTACGAAAGGAGCTGTTGTTGATCGAGAATATCCAAATCAAGGTAAATTATTTTCATTTTAATATAATATTCTTAGATTATTAAAAGACCATATTTAGACATTAATCCATCTCCTGCTGCCATACTAACTGGACATGATTCAGAAATAACATGTTTATGGATATCAGCTGAATTAGGTATTGTATTGAGTGGAGGTGAAAATGGTTTAGTACTCGAACACACATTAAATGGTGATGTATTACGTTCATTTGAAAATCCATTGCCAACAGACATACCAAGAATTATTTCTCCATCGAATGATGGTGATATTATTGTCTGTTATGATCGATCAAAATTATGTTTATATACATTAAATGGAAAATTAATGAGACAAGCAATTTTCGAAGATGAAATAATACAGGTTCAATATATATGTTTAAAAAATATATTCAGTTAATTTAAAATCAAATGAAATTTTTTTTAGAGCTTAGAAGTGAATACTGATGGTCAATATACGGTCATCGGAGGTGATCGAGGTTTTGTTCAGATTATTCGTACATATGATTTACAACCTGTTTATGCATATCCACAATGTGATGCTAGTATTCGATCATTAGCAATTACTCATGATCAAAAGTAAATAATAAAATTTAGACAGACACCATAGAATCACCCCTTTCTCTTGTCATTTTTAGATATATTATGGCTGGATTATCCACCGGTTGTCTAATTGTATTCAATGTTAATTTTCCAGCTATTGGACATCGTCGCGATTCGGCATCACCATTGAATCCAACAGCAAGTGCCACATCGTTATCTTCATCTTCTTCATCAGCAAAAGTTCCTCCTCTAGAACAATCAACACCGACATCAACTCGAAAATAATTTATTTTATATATATTTGTTTGCTTTGTTTATTCGTATTTGTAATTCAATTCGCACACACAACCTCAATGATCAATCATTTTTTTTTCTAATGTCTGCATTTTGTGCGTGTGTACCTTTTTTAAATATTTCACTGTTTTTTTTTTTAGTTGAATTTTTTTCACAAATTGATTATTTCAAAACATTCCGAATATGTTTTGTGTCTATATTTATATTCTTTTAGCTTGATATTTTGGAAAACTTTATCAATTTTCTTCTGCTCACCAACAGCACACATATTATATTAAAAAATCTCAAAACTATTGTTTCGAAACATCACAAACCAGTGATATTTTCTAGGATAAATTTTTGGCTGTTTTGCGCTACTTTTTTTTTCGTATTTATGTGCATACGATGAAGAATACTTACATTTTTCCCGTTTTTCTTTTTACCTACTAAGGTCTATGTGTGCATAATTGTATTTAGTAAACGCTTTCTCTTTCTAAAATTAACAAACAAATCGTTATGAATTTCTCTAACATTTCTTTTGAAATTAAAAAGCATGTATGTGACTATGTATCTCCTTTTTTTTGTTATTGAAGCATTTCTTCTTCTTTTTTGAATACACTTACATTCAATAGAAAAAAAAATATCTTTTGATTAGACATTCTTTAGCTGACCGTTGCTCTTCGTCGTCACATAACTTGTCTTTGTGTATTAAAGGATTTTATATGAAACCCTTAAAATTTGTGAAAACGTCTTCTGTTCAAGAAAATTTCCACATCGTACATTGATATAATATGCATAGAAGAATATTTTTGGAAAGTTTGAAGGAGACTGATAGTTTGAAAAACTTTCGTGCAAGGATTGATTTTGTATTTTGATAGTTTAAGTTTCAAACTGATATAATGAGAATTATTCTCAGTTTTGTTCTGGTTCAAAATTAAAGCTTAAACCAACTTTGATAGACCTAATTTACAGAATCTGTCTTCATATAATGTTGGTTATCATCTGATCATCCGATATAACCTTCATCACACGTATGTACTACGGTCAAAAAGAAGAAACTAAAGATATCTCTTAAAATTGGAAAAAATTGTAATCCTACTTATGTCAATATAAAGTAACAAACGTTCCATGAGTAAATTGTTATACCAAATAGACAGAACAAGTTTTTTGAAAACTACTAATTGAAACGTATGGTAAGATAGAAGTTACAGTGAGACCCACAATTGTTCAACAGTCTTCATTGTGAACCTTTTTTCTCGGCTGCTATAACTAAGAAAAATCCAAATAATGAACTGATCAGCTGAAAAAGTTTCCAGTCAGAAAAGGTGTATATGAAAATTCTATCAGGACCAGAGATAGGCCCGGTCCGACAAAGGAAAGTTGAGGCCCGATCCGACCAGTATTCAAAATTTTAGGGCCCGACCCACAAACAAAAGGTGGACGTCTGAGTCTGGCTCGACCTTTTTCAGTTATTTACAGTATTCTGCATCTTTAACGCTAATAGATTTGGTTGAAAAATTGCTATACATGTACTTCTCAGAGATGGGCAAGTCCGGTACTTTTCCAGTCCCAGTCCACTAGAAGCTAAGTCCGAATCAGTCCCAGTCTGCTATACAGTTAAAATGTTTCAGTCCCAGTCCCAGTCCAATCCCAGTCCGTGATGAGTTTAAATTTTCCAGTCTCAGTCGGCTAAGCTCAACAAAAAACATTTCAAATACTTTTTGGTTTGATGTTAAATTATCCTTATTAGAAGCCATTATGCCTTAACGTAACTTTGAGAAAATTGGAATGTCCAGTGCAGAAAGGCAGACGAGCATTTAGTGCAAAGAAACCAATCAATCAACGGAAAAAAAAGAGCCGCCTTTTGATTGTAAGTAACTCTGATCAAAAGTTCTGACTAGAGCTAATCTTAAACCGACTACGCGGTAACGCGAAAAAGATAAAAAAGTGAATTCAATTTCTTTATTCTTTTCATCTTTTTTCAAATTTAAACTGGAAAGTCCAGTCACAAACGTGAAAAAAATCTGCCAAAAAAAAGTCCACATCTCTTATGCCTTCAGTCCCAGTCCGGGTGAAAAAGTCTTCCAGTCCGGACTTGCCCATTTCTGGTACTTATAACACAACTCTATCATTTAAATTTTTTTCCAATAGCCGGCTAATTCAGCTACATATTAGAAAAAGAAATATTATAATATTCGTTACGAACATGTTAATACTAAATATAATGGTTTTATTGATGTATTTAACCATATGCTCTCGGAAAGAAAGAGAAGCCTTCGGCCCAGCCAGACCCGATAAAGAAAAATTGAGGCCCGAGCCCGGCCCGGCCTAACCGGTCTTAAAAGCTTTCTGGCCCAGCCCGGTCCGACCAGCAGTCCAACACGCGCCGATCTCTGATCAGAACAGAAGACTAAGTCTCTGGATATCCAAATTCTTTTTGAAACCAAATCCCTGGATTAGAAATTTCATTCATTTCTAATCAAATTCAGGGACCTGGTTTTCAATAAATTTCGATATTCAGGAGGCCTCATCACAAAAAACTTGAATCAGACTTAAGTCTTCATTATGTGCATTTACGTGCTAATTTTATACACTTAGGTCTAGACTTTGACTTAAGTTTTTACGTGATACGATCCTCAGAGACTTAATGTTCTGATAGAATTTCCATACACACCTCGTTTAACTGGAAGCTTTTCAGCTGACCAATTCACTATCCGGATCTTTCTTATTTATGATAGCCGAAAAAAAAGGTTCAAAATAACGACTATTGAACAATTATGGGATTCATTGTAGAGTGAAATCTAGTGCGCTTTCAGGTTAATTATTTTTAACGTCTCTCCATATAATAAATTGAATATATTTTTTTATGTATTAAGGTGATGAGTGTAGACGCTTCTTATCATAAAATTGAAAGATAATTAAATTTAACAACAAAACAAGAACTGAATGAAATACGTGTGCACAAATTTTTCATCAATTCTTAAGAAAGTTTTGAGCTTTTCATTAGTTTTTCTGTTATCTTTTTTAAAATTGTCACACTTATTAAAACCAGTACCAATTTGTCTTGTTTTCTATGCATGTAAGAGTGATACTGAACAAAGTTTCAACAAAATGCGATTATATTATCCGTTAGATACCACCAGTGATCTTTAATTTCCTTCATTTTACTCATTGAATCAAGTTGTTATTTTTAGACTGTTTATCTTTACGTTAAAATGAGTAACATTTATATTCAAGAACCGGCTACAAACGGCAAGGTAAGTAATCATACATTTTTATTTATTCTGTTAAAATTAAACCTTTTTGTTGCTTTTAGGTTATATTAACAACAACTGTGGGTGAAATTGAAATAGAATTATGGTCTAGAGAATGTCCAATTGCTTGTCGAAATTTTGTTCAATTGTGTTTGGATGGGTATTATGATGGCACTGTATTTCATCGTGTTGTACCCTCATTCATTGTTCAAGGTGGAGATCCAACTGGTACGGGAGACGGAGGAGAAGCGGCTGCCGGAAAACCTTTTCAGGTAAGTGTTGACAAATCAATTTCGACAAACTAATGTTAACTGTTGTTTTTAAGGATGAATTTCATACACGATTGAGGTAAGATAAAATTAAGTGTTGTACAAAATTAACATTAATCATTTTTTATTTTAAGATACAATCGTCGAGGACTTGTTGGTATGGTCAATAGTGGTCCAAATACGAATGGTAGTCAATTTTTTTTCACAATGGGACCAACAACCGAACTTGAAAAAAAAAATACATTATTTGGAAAAGTAAATACAGATTTTGACGTTATTTGTGTCTAACAATTGTTGTTTTCAAGGTGGTCGGAAATACACTGTTTAATATGTTGAAACTTGAAGAAGGAGAAATTGAAGATGAAAAACCGTTACACAAACAAAAAGTTCTTCATACTGAAGTAAGATTTTGGTTGATTATTCTAAAAACATGAAATCACTTTTTCTTGAGATTATTCGTAGGTTATATCAAATCCATTTGATAATATGGTAGCAAATCCTCGTTCACAAACGTTATTGAAAACAGATGAACAAAAAGACAAGTCTGTTGTATCAGCAAAAGCTATCAAGTAAGTTTAATACACAAAACAATAATCGTATGATGGTTAAATGTCTGACTGAGATGACGGGTTACATTCATTTTCTTAGAAATTTTGGTTTGCTATCATTCGGAAATGAAGCTGAAGAAGATGAAGAAGAAATAAATCAGATAACAACGGTGAGTAAATCCGATCATAGTCTCTTATTTTATTTTGGGAACCATGGTATATTTAGAATTTTAAACAAAGAGGCGGTGGAAAGAGTGCACATGATTTAATGAATGATCCAACGTTGAGTAAACAATCAATTCTTCATGATGAAAATCCAAATGAAAATCCAAATGAAATTGAGGTAAAATTCGTAGTTGTTTAATTGTAAAAATAATAAACGATCTCGATTATTTCGAAATTTAGCAAAAAAAAGTTGATATAGATGATAACGATACTAACGAACAACTGGAAATAATTCGAAACAAATTAAAATCAAACGAAAATTCTAAGAAAAAAATTAAAGACAATAAAGAACCTGAAGCTAGTGTTAAATCGTACGTTTGTCTAGTAATTTTATTGATATGAATGACTTGAAAAGGGATTAGATATTTTAGAAATGATACTGTTAAAAATGAAATTCATCAGATAAGAAAAGAATTAAAACAAGCCAAAAAACAACCAGTCGTAGTAAATCCGACAAATATCGTGGAGACGCCTAATATTATTGAAGCAATAGAAAGTAAGAAAATAATGAAATTTTAGCTATATTTGGGAATTTTTATTCTTTCAGCATTTTTAATTCATGTCAAAGTGTTATTATCAAATAAATTGACCATGCGTTTATGTTTTTAGCTTCTAGTATTCAAGTGAAACCAACTGAAACAACCGCTATTTTGGATGACTTAATGTCGGGTACTCGAAGGCACGCAAAAAAACAGCATATTACTCATTCGATGACAAGAGAATCAAAGGTTTGTTGATGCGAAATTGCACTATCTTCTCTAATAAATGTGCTTGAAACCAAATATTTAGTTACCTGCAAATTTTTGCAAAAATACTTCGCCGAGGTATTTTAAAGAACTTCGGATACATGCATACGTTTCGCCAGTATTTACCGAGTTATCTCTGTATTCTTAAATACAGATAAAGTACCTTTTTTACTTTCAAAAACTTCAAGTACTTTGGACATCACTTGCCCAAGTATTTGTCTGAATACTTGTATAAAAATGCATTCATTAGGATTGTTCTATTAAAAAACTTGTAAATACCTACGGAAACTTCTCTCATTGTTATCATATGAATATAACGACTACTATCCACTTCAAAATATAAAGAACACGGATGTTTTTTGAATAACTTGAGAACGGACTGAGCTAGAGAGCTGCGGTTTTCAGATTATGAAAGAGGACACCTGGGACCATAATTCTATGCTAAAACGAGCCTTATCCGACAGGCTTACCACGGTACACCTTTCGACGCAAAAAATTCGAGCCTTGAACTCCAAAACTCTACATAGTGAGATATTGTTCTAAATACAATCGAGTATGGAGCAAATGTCACTATACAATCTGGCGCAAGTCTCACACCTCCATGTATCATGATTCAGATGCTACAGGCAATCAGCGAGGGCCTATCTATCGGCCAAATTTTCTGAATAATTCGTCTGTTGCAGTTTCCTTAATCCGAACAACAAAACAAATATTGCCACAGTAATCAGCGTGTCCAATAGCCTATGTACCATGTGCTTTTGAGGGGAGCCGGACAGTTGCTCGCGGGGACAGTTGCTCGCGGACACTTGCTCGCGGACACTTGCTCGCGGACACTTGCTCGCCAGGACACTTACTCGCTAGGACATTTGCTCGCTAGGACACTTGCTCGCTAGGACATTTGCTCGCTAGGACACTTGCTCGCCAAAAATTGGAAATTAACTTGATTACTTGTACTCAAACGCTATCTCCCAAATTCACCGATTATAAGAAGAATCACACAACAGAATCAAACAAAGCGTCATAATAATCTTTGAACAACAATAGACAACAAAAAACAGAAACTTCATAACGACAGCAAACGTCCGATGCATTTTAACTGGTCATAAATATCTGGATGTGGA